CTGAAGACATTAAGGATGGCACTGCTGTTTAACCAACCCAAGTATCCAGAAGTCACCAACTGAATACTCCAAAGTAATGAGATTGCCTCTAAAAATCATAAGGGTTTTTCAATATTTGTTCCTGTTAACTTGCTTTCTAGGTTTCAAACATTATTTCTCGCTTGCCTGGGGCTTTTGTGCTTTCCTTTGCAAAAATAATACCAACAAAAGTGCTGCATTTGTATGAATGAATGTCCAGAGAGTTACGTGTGCGTGAGCATCTAGGAGCAGGAACCTGTGAGGGCCCGAACCCGCCTTTCGGAGACAGACAGAGGATCCTGAGGTCTCTCAAGTGGTTCTTACAACAAAATAATCATTAATTGCTTTTACCTAGGAGCACAGCATGGGTAATGAGAGACGTTTGGCTTACTAAGTTATGAGCTATTGTTTGCACTGTGCCCTTCCCTGTTCCCTTCCATAGCTCTGCTGAGCTGAGGTTAGCTCTCCTGCGTGGGACCTTTTCACTGCACTGACCGCTCTGAGAATGGGCTTCTCTGTCCGTTCCCCTTCCTGTTTCCCAATTTTTTCAACAAATGTTTGGTGGTTTTTTCCCTTCAGTTCCTCTGAATTGAGAAGAAAAGAGAGAAGCACCTTTAAGAGACACTGGTGACGTAGCAGAATGCCGTTTTGGGAAAGATTTAAGTACCAAGGTGATGCATGTAACTGGAGAACCTGAATCAAACAGAGCCTGGCCCACCACAAAGGAGGTCAGAAGTGGTAGCAAAAGCTGTACATGCTTGCCCTGAGAGGGAGTTTATTTGTTGTTTTTTCTTCCTGGTTTATGGTCGTGCTACTCCTGCCTTATGCTGTCGGGGGACAAGAACAAGCACTCCTCTGCTGTAACAGCCTGCAGTAGGGGACATAACTGGCAAGCGAAGTAACAACTCTCTTGCAATTCACTGGCTATGCCCTGACAAATTCTGATAGTGAATATAATTAACATGAGGCTATTCTATCCTTGTCTAATTTATAACTTTGGGATCTCTTTTATTGTTTGCCTTTATATTACCTTTTAACTGTGGTTCCAGCCTCCTACAAAACAATTACTTCATTAAAGAAGATAGGATGGTTGATATTTTCTTGCAGACACTGCCAGACTTGAACTTCCTGGACATGTTGGGACTGAGCTGCTTCTGAGACCCTTTCCCAGAGCCAGCAGGCCCCATTTGGCTCCTTCCCACTAACCGCAGCAGGACCACAGGGGATGGAAGGCAGCACAGGGAATGCCCAGCAGTTTCCATATTCAAAGACCCAAGGACACTGTTCCATTTCTGCTGACCTTCAGTGATCATTCTTTCTGTAGTTGACTTCCCCTGAGGTCTCTTCCCATCTGCACCTTGCAATTCTGGACCCAACTGCTGCTGCTGAGGTGCAGACTCTCGCTCCCGTGTCAGGTGGCTGTCAGCCAAGTCCTGCACAGGAGAGACTGAACCTGCCATAGCCTTCACACCAGCATGACTCAGGACTCTGCTGTTTGGTTTGGTTTGTTTTTTTCCTTCACACTGTAGAGTCACCTTTCACCAGTATTGGAAGGGGGCAGGTATGAACCCAGGGAGCAGCTCAGATACGTGGGCGTCACTGGATATTTTGCTGCTTTTGCTTAGGTGGGGTTTAGGTAGTCTGCCAAATCCGCATGGGAGCTGCACGTGGAGAGGCCAGCAGCAACGCAGACCGTTCATTGGGAAGTCCTTGAGCTGCTGGGATTTGGTTTTCTCTTCTATGCAGAAATGTCCACCTGGGTGGGGGATGCGGGGACCCTGTCCTGTGTAGCTCCCACATTTTCTTTGGAGGGAAAAACAGTGGTTCACTCCACTATCCACGAAGCGCAACCCTCCTTCCACCCCCCTTCACCTGGAGGGTTCTGCCTGACCCACATTCTGCATTAATCCAGCTGTGCTCACGTCCACCCTGATGCCTGCTAGGGTGTGCATTCCGTGCCACCGCCCAAGGAGTTGCTTTTAACACTCTGCCTCAGCTAGCAGCTGGAGGAACTTGGCTTTTGGCATCTTTTCAGCCGTGAAGAACGCAGTTGTCATGTGGCACGTGGAAGGAGACGTGCTCTCGTGGACAGAAGATGACTCAAGAAAGCGCCCAAGCTCCAGTGCTACCTGCCAGCTTAATCAAAGAGCTGCTGTGGGAAATAGTTAAGTTCTTGCTGGTCTGGAGAAGCTGGGCTGAGAAAGGGCTTCAGCTCCTTTGACCGGGGGTCTTGGTTGTCTCTTAGAGTGGCAAAAGGGAGCTTGGCGTCTGTGGACACTTAGCTTTGGACTGCGCGGGCGTGGATCAAAGCGGCCCGGAGATGCTGTGTGCTGCTGACCAGCCAGTCTGCTCAGACCTCCCAGTCCCTTCCACCGCCCGCCCTAATGAAACACTGAAGTGCCCTCGTCATGGCCCTTCACCAGCCCCACGACCACAGGAGGGGGTGGAGGGCGTTCCCTGCGGCCGTCACTTACCGCCTCCGTGCAGCAGGGCCACCATGATGGAGGGGAACCACGACGTCTCGCTATTGCTGGCCTGGAACTCGTGCTGGAGGTCCGTGAAGAAGACACCGATACAGGAGGGGAAGCCCAGCGTCAGCCCCTGCAGCAGCGCTGCGGCAAGCAGGACCATCCATGCCCATCCCTGGTCCTGGGGCTTGGCAGCTTTGCGTGCTCCTCCTCCTCCTTGGGACATGATGGCTTCTTTCTCCTCCTAAACCAGGCTGCTGGGGACGGGAATGCAGCTACCATGCGACCCTCAGTCCAGCAAACAGACCTACGGAGAAGAGCTGGTGGTATTCCCGAGGCTCAGAGGCACCCGTGTGTCCCACACCTTTTGCAGCTGACACTCTAGACTTCTTGCTCTGCATTTCTTCTAGCACCTCCCTTCCTTCTCCCTACAGGATCCTGGCAACAGATTGCTTGAGAAATAACTGCCTTCCCCTTTTATATTTCACAAGACTCTGACCACAGCCAGGTACAGAACAGGACCACACCTCCTCTGAGGTATGAATTGGCCTTACCTAATTCCCGCCCTTATTTTCCCTTTCACCTGCTTTCATCATATGGAGTCCCCTTGCTGGCAATTCCTAAGGTCACTCAGTCCTCGTGCTGAGAAGAGAAGGAAAAGCTCTGCAAATGCCAAGAAAAATAAAAACACACAAAGTTTGCATGTCACAGCTGAGCTCAGTGTGACCCTTTCAGGAAAACTGCACCTAGCTACACAGCGCTAGCAGTGAAAAAATGTTTTTAAAGCCATTAATTAATTAGGATCCAGTGATTGCAGATAGGCTTTCGCTTTACCTCTGGTTAGATCTAGAGCTTCTTCTGAGAGATCCCAGCTCTGATTTCTTTGAGGCTGGCAGCGCAAAACATACAGCAATAGCATTCCCCGTCCTCTCCACATGAATAAACATGCATTACAAAAAAAAAATATCTTTGGCAGCTGGATGAGCTTAAAAATAGTGCCTGTAAGGTCACTGCACAGTGCAATATTTATTTAGCACTCAAAGAGTGGGTTTCTTCCAAAACCAATAACTACATTTGAGTTTTGTGTGCAGCTTTAAAAATGAATAATAGGTTGATTTTGCTCATTATTTCCAATATGCCGTGGTGGCAGAAAGTTAGTTTCATACCTCAGGCTGAGACCAGAATTGGCCAAACGAAGGGCAGCGAGCGCGTGGCTGCGTGTGCGGCGCGGGCGGCTCAGCCCCTGTGTGCGCAGCCCGGTCAGCTCGTGGCCCGCGGTTCGATACTTCTGCTTCAGTAGCGACTAAAATCTTTGATGAAGCCTTTTCCGATATTACCCTAGGCATCGCTTCTGTAAACAGGGCTGCTAGGCCAGCTGGAGCACAGCCAGGGGAAAAAAAAAAAAAAGGGGTGGAGGGGGCCCGTGGGAAGGGGCTCTGAGATGCAAATCACGGTGGTGGTGCTCAGCGCACTTTAATCCTTTGTCCACTTTAGCTGGGCGCAGATAATGCAACTGATTCAAGTGCTTGTCTCTCTGGTGTGAATTAGCTGGATGACAGCCTCAAACCTCTCCCCGGCAACAGCAAACCTGCAAAAAAAGGCAGAAGCACAGCTCCTCTCTGTTCCCAGCCGCCCTGCCCAACTCTTGAGTTTGTCCAGCGGAAGATTTCTAGCTCCTCTCACATCTCCCTGTGCGCCTGCTCACTGGGGAGGACTCTCAAGTGGGGCTGCAGACCCCGTGGCTTTCGTCCACCTTCTGCCCCCGGCTGCAGGACACATTTTCCCTGGGCGGCCCGACCTGCACAGTTGCTGCAAGGACCCTGGGGATGTGCTGCCAAGCGCTGCGTGGCCTCCTTGCTGCTTTCTGCCTGTGTGAAGGTGAAGGAACAAGATTTTTCCAGCACTGGCTTAGCTGGCTGCGCCACACCGAGAGCAGTGCCGCAAAACCTTGGTTTAACCCATCCCAGAGAGGATGGGCGGTGCAAACGTGGAGGGCTGGTGGTGTCGTCGTGCTCCGTGGGCTTGATGTTCTCAGGCAGCCGGCGCTTGGTGTTGAGCAGTGAACAGGAGAGACCGGGGACACCTGCGAAACAGGGAGATTTTCACATCCGCATGGTCATATCATGGTAACAGCACCGGGAATAGGATCGAAGCTCACAGCAATAGCCACACCTGGGTGCCTACTGCAAACAGTGTGCTTTTGTTGGGAGCAGATCAACCGGTGCAAAGGTGCTTCCCTCTACCAGCCAGTGCAGTGCCTGGGGACGCACGGGTGCCCTGGATGGGACAAGGAGGAGCATACAGCGGGTTTCAGTCTGTCTTTCTGGCCACCCTCTGCCAGTCACTGCCTGCCCTGATGAGCTAATTCTCTCTCATTCAGGTCTCAAGTTGTTTCTTCTTCCAGTGACCCCCAGGACACCGGTATTCAAACCTTCTTGGCTTTCCCTAGCAGGAGCAGCCCTAGTAGATGTTCGTGGCAGCAGAGCGGGAGTGCTCACACAGTGATGCTCCCTGCTGCTTCTGTGCCTCAGCTGGGATGGGGGACAAGCAGCTGCTGGGGTAAGGGTTGCTGGCTGCTCCCTGCAAGGGCAGGCAGCCCTGGGGCGGTTACGTAGCTCACCTAGGAAGAGGTTTACGTTTCGCCCCCAGATGATGATGGTATCTATATATTGTCCTCGGTGAGAGCTTGCAGCTGGTGGGTACCTCGGTGAGGAGAAGAGGAGCCCGCTCCTTCCCTGCAGCCGCTCAGGAGGGAGAGCCAGCAGCAGGGAGGTCAGGAGAGTGGCTGGGGTGGAGGGAGGCAGAACCGCTGCCCCCAGCGATGGGGCTTGGAGGGGCGTTCAGAGGCTGGACTGGACGGTGCCTGTGGCTTGGGAGCAGGGATGGAAATGGGGAGGGAAGTTTCTTGTTCATGGTACGTCAGGTGTCTGCATCCTCCTGCCACCCCAGCTCAGCCCCGGCGTGCAGCGGACATGTCTTTTATCGATGTGTAAAATAAGCTGCATGCACAGAAGCGAGATGTTTACTGTAAACTGAGCGGGGTCGTAAACTGTTTTTCGGGGTCACTCAGTGTCTGTTGGGGGTAGGAAAGCCAAGCACTTCCCTTGGTAAATACCTTTATAAGTGACTTTTTAAGTACCCTTTCATCCTGAGATCTTGGCTTGCTTTGTCATCCTCTCCCAGGTAGGGTTTATGATGTCCCTGCTGACTTTTCCAAGGTCAGCCATGAAGTTGACACAGAGAATCCAGATCTAGCTCTCATTAAAGCGCTGGCCCAAGTGGCGCAGCCTGGTCTGTCTGTGGGACGTCACTTGTCAGCCATCACTTGCAGCCTTTAAGGGGCAGGTTGTGCCTGGGGCACGGCGGAGGTGGCTGCAAGTCCCCTGCTCCGTGCCCGTCCTTACTGGCACGTTCTGGCTCTGTAAGCCAGTGCCGAGCTCAGGACCCTCAGCAGCAAAGCAGCAAATGCCTCAGCGCTTGCAAATCGTTTTTGAGAGAGACTAGTTGAATTGGTTCCAGAGATCCAGATTAGCAAATCGTCTGACAGATTGAATCTTGTGGAGGAAGTGGGGGGAGGTGTGTGCTTGTTTGGTTTTGGATTTTGTCTCTTTTTTTTTCAAAAGCAAAGGAAACTAGGTGACATTTCAGCTGTGGGGTTGCAAAGCAGTTCAGGGCAAGGAGGTATTTGTGCCCCAGGTTGTCCCAAATTAGACTCCTGCTCTGATCCCTCCCTTGAATCCAGACAGACCCAGCAGAAACCAAGCTCTCAGAGCACCTGAAAACAGATTCCTGGCCTGAGACTGAGGCAGGGACAGGATCTGAAGAACCCTGGCAAAACCCCTACAGACCAGCTCTGCTGGTGCTGAGAAAATGGGATGGTGCCAAGGATGGGGAAAGTGCTGGTTTATCATGAATTTCCCAAGAAGTTCCTCTAACATCACTCCCACATCCTCATCCTGCAAAGGGCATCAGTCCTGCCTGCACTAATGGGTCTTAAATAGCCTGACCAGCCCCATCTGGGGTCTCCTCCCATAACCCCTCCACCCAATTTGTTCCTCAGCTGCATTTAAGCCCAGCTCCTTGCCCAGATCAGCCTTTGATCCGTCTCACCACTGTCTTCTGCTCTCCTGGGCTGACTTCAGATCTGCCTGGCTGCTTTGCGCTCGTTAGTCACCAGCAACACGGGTGTAACACCAGGTGAGAAATCCCACTTTTGGGACCGGGTTTAATGACCATTAGTCAGTACTGGGGATCACACTGCTTGGCACGGAGATGGGAAACGGGGGATGAGGAGGCAGCTGGCATCAGAGCATGCCCTGACAGCTCCCATCAGTTTGCAGGAATCCAGCAAGATGTGGCTCATCTCTGGTGGCAAATCTCCGGCTGGTGGGTGGTTGCAAATGGTTTGTGCTCCAGCTGGCCCTTGCCTTCCTGCCTGCTGCCTCCCCCTGCCCCGGTCGCTGCCCGTGGCTTTCCCAGAGCCTGTGTGTCGTGCGGTAGGTGGGAAGGCTGGTACCAAGAAGGGCGGCTTTCCCTGAGACAACAGGGATGGCTCTGGAGATGAGTCTGAAAAAGATGTGTAAATTCACGCTGGATATGGCTTTGGAAGTGGCTCTGGCTCACACTGTGTGACACCCTGACCTGCCACGTTACTCTGCGCTGCCTTGGGAGCGGGGCGGAGAGGGGGAGCGATGCCAGCATGAGGCTACCCAAACGGATGGAGGTCTTTGCTAGGAACCTGGCTGAGGTCATTGAGAATATCTGGAAGAGGCTGATGCTTTTCTTCCAGCAATTTCCTGCATTTGTGAAGGTGAGGAAGGTGACGTGTTCCCTGGAAAGTGGGGCTTCTGAAGAAATGGAGTTACCTTATCGTTAGCTGCATGAAAACTCTAGTCAGCAGACAAAGATGTGGCACAGGGAGAGAGCGATGGGCTGTGATGTGGCTGTGAGTGAAAGTCTAACCCTGCCGCAGCCCCTCTCTGCCATGCATTGACATCTGGGGACCCTGGGCAGCAGCTGGCCGGGCCCTCTAGCAGATCCTGTCTATCAAGCTCTTAATTGTCATTTGTCTTGACTTTTACTAGTGAGGAATAAAGGACTTAGTGGGGGAAGGATCAAGAGAAGTGTTTCCCTGTGGCTGGGTACTGGATCCTTGGAGCAGGCAGAGGAGGTTGTGGGGGGTTGCAGGTGTGGGGCCAGAACTTGGGGAGCGTGGTTTTTAGGAAG